GCTCGAGCCGCTGCTAGGAGAACAACTACTGTCAAGCTGACTGTAACCACACATACCGCTTCCGGTTCGCATTTAAGAATAAGACAACGCCAACCAACAGGTATTGTTACCGACTGTGCATTGGCAGTTGTTTTTGAGCGAATACCAAATTAAAAACAAAGAACAAAAAAAATGGATGTATTAACAATGTAATGCATTTATAAAACAAATGTTCTGAGAATGACATTCTCAAAGTAAGGTTTTATTACCGTATTGCATCCCAATCGATACACATACATTAGTCAATGAAGATAACCGTATCCGACTTTGCGGATGAAAAAAAATCTTCATTTCGCAATTATAACGAAACCGTTTTGGTGTTGTTTCCTGTAGTATCAAGTTGCATGCTCTTGTTTTGAAAAGAAGACGCCCTTGCCTCCGGTAATTAATTTCGTATGTATTGATACCCGGCTGGTGCTACACTCCCAAGCCCACCCTCCTGGCTCTAAGCACCTCTCTGTGATTGGTCCACGTGAGTTGAGTGACGCCGAAAATCGATTTTTGCTACATCCAATTGGTCCACGTCCAGATAGTGGGTGTTATTTAGATGACGACATTTCCAGGTGAACTGAGCAAACCCCACGCCTGCATAAACTCTATGAGGTTAGTTAAATGTTGAGTTTCATACTTTATTTTGAGCGATCTGAAGCTCGCTGTTATTGATATACGCTGGCTACTGTTAAACAGTATTGGAATTGGAAAAACTGTGTTTTTCCAATTTCGTTAATTAATTATTTTCATTTATAAAGCATGTCTCCTGGCCTGCAATTTAGAGAAAAAACTGCATTAATAACAAAAGCAACAGTATTTAGTTTGTTAAAGTCATAAGTACAAATCCAAGTAAACCGCTTATTTTCAGTAAATGATCAGAGTAATACGACTTTTCCATGAAATCTAACAGGAATTAAAGGACAATCAAATTCTTTTTGCAAAGCTCATGAAAAGCATCTCTGGATGTGACTAGCACAAGCTTTTAGCAACAAGAAAGGCCAGACAGTTTTCCAGGTTAGCAACCACTGCAAGTTTGAACCTCAAATTTCTAGACTGGTCTAACTGGTAAACGGTCTTATACTTGTACAGCACTTTCCTATGCATCGCAGCACACTCAAAGCACTTTTACACTATTTGCCCATTCACTCAATCGCACTCCCAAGCACAAGCACGCGATAACCCCGGGGGCAATTTTGGGTACCCCATATGACCTGAACTGCCATAAAGGCTACAGTGGGACACATCACAGAAAATGTTAATGGCTTTAAGGTGTTGCAGACCGATCAGAGGGCAATAAGAATAATAAGCACATATTAAGAATAGTAGGCCTAGTAAGACCGAATTAAGCAGCTGCAGTTTTTCCAAAGCTAAAATTAAATTTAACTTTGTTGAAGGTTTCAGCTTTTAAAAGCCAGAGTGGTAGTGGTTGGCAAATTAAAATATGAAAAACAATCCCAAGAAACATGCCATCTTACTTGCATTTTAAACATGCTCAATAAGAAACTGCATTGAATGAATATGCTAACAACAACAAGCACTGGTTTAGAGCAAGACTCAAGCAGCTTCGTCGTGCCAAAGAGGAGGCTTACAGGTGTGGGGACAGGGCTCTGTACAGCCAGGCCAAGAACATACTGACAAGGGAGATCAGAGCAGCAAACTGGAGCTACTCTGAAAAGCTGAAAACTCAGGTTTCAGCCAACAACCCCTCATCTGTGTGGGGAGCCTGAAAACCATCACTGGCTATAGAAAACCATCCCCCACCTGTCAGTGGATTACTAGCTTTCTGACAGACAGGGAGCAGCAGGTGAGGCTGGGGAAAACCACATCCTGCACCCAGACAATAAGCACAGGTTCCCCCCAGGGACGTGTGCTCTCCACTCTGCTGTTTTCACTCTACACCAACGACTGCATCTCGAAGGACCCCTCTGTCAAGCTCCTAAAGTTTGCAGATGACACAACGGTCATTGGTCTCATCCGAGACGGTGACGAGTCAGTCTG